CGTCCAGTGGAATATTAATGGGTGTGTTAATCACTATCCAGAACTGAAACTACTCATGCAGGAGAAAAAGCCCTTTTGTCTCTGTCTTCAAGAGACCCATTTCTCTCCAACCACGAAATTTCAGCTACGTGGGTTCAAATGTGTAAGAAAGGATGATACGCCGCAAATCCGTGCCAAGGGCGGCGTGGCAATATTTCTGGATGTAAATATCCCCTTTACAGAGGTCAACATCACATCCGAGCTTCAGGTTGTTGCTGTTCAACTAATAGTACCTATAAAATTGACCATATGCAACATATACCTACCCAATCAAAACTGGGAATATAATCAATTGAAAAGCATATGTGAACAGCTTCCCAAACCCTTTCTCTTAGTAGGAGATTTTAAACTCGCATAACCCTCTTTGGGGCTCACAAAACTGGACACCAGAGGGAGGATAGTGGAAGATATAATTAACGAAGCAAATTTAATGGTGCTGAATAAAGGCGAAGGAACATTTCTTAACTCTAGGTCGTGCAACTACAGTGCGATAGACTTGGCACTTTGTAGCCCAAGTGTATCATATCTCTTTGATTGGGAAGTTTTAGATGATCACTCATCTGACCATCTCCCAATACTACTTAACTGTGCTGTACAAAATACAAGTGTTCCACTTGCAGAAAGGTGGATTGTTAAAAAGGCAAATTGGGAGAAATTTCGAGAACATTTGACTCCAACGCGAATAGGTGATTCAATATCTGAAACCGTCAGCAACGTTACTGACAGTATAGTGAATGCTGCTTCCGAAAGCATCCCTAAAGCAAACATACAACCTGGTAAACCTATAGTACCCTGGTGGGATCAACAAATTGAAGAAGCCATTAAAGGCAAAAAGCATAACTACAATGTCTTCAAAAGAAACCAACTCTGGCAAATATGATGAAATTCAAACAAGCCAGAGCTAGAGCACGGAGATTGATGTTAGCAGGCCAAAGAAATTCTTGGCAAAAATATGTATCTGACATCACTTCAGAGACCCCAAGCTCAGATGTATGGAAGAAAATCAGAACCATATCCGGCAAACACTTCGCCACACCTTCCCAGTGTTACGAGTAGGAGGAAGAGAAGTTACGGGCGCTACAGAGATAGCCAACACGCTAGGCATGCACTTTGAAGAGATATGTTCCAATGACAACCTAAGCCTTGGGGCCTATCAAAGGAAGCTAGAAATTGAAAGCAATGCACTTGACTTTAGTGAATCTAACATATCGGAATATAACAACAATTTCACTCATACCGAATTCGAAAATGCTCTTCAAGAGACTAACGACTCTTCCGCTGGCCCGGACTCCGTCCACTATTGCATGATACGCAACCTACCTGTAACAGAAAAACAAGCAATATTAGAAATGTTTAATAAAATATGGCAAACTGGTACTTACCCAGATCAGTGGAGAGAATCAATAGTGATACCTATTCCTAAAGCAGACAAGATTCAACAAAGCCTGAGAGCTACAGACCAATATCCCTGACCTGTTGTCTGAGCAAAATCCTAGAAAAAATGATAAGTCGAAGATTAATGTGGTTACTGGAGACACGAAACCTGCTAATAAATTCTCAGACAGGTTTCAGGCAGCACAGATCATCCGTAGACCACCTTATCCACTTGGAAACAGCCATACAGAACAGTTTTGCCAACAGGAGCCATCTGATTGCTATCTCTTTTGCCTAGAAAAGGCATACGATACCGCCTGGGGATATGGAGTCCTATCAACTCTCCATCAATGGGGAATCGGGGACGGCTGCCCACATTCATTGCAAGCTTCCTTGCCAAGCCGGTCGTTCAAGGTAAGGCTGGGGACAAAGTATCTCATACATACCTCCAAGAAAAACGGAATACATCAGGGCTCCACCCTCAGCGTAATCTTGTTTGTAATAATTGCCAACAACTTACTCCAGTGCATCGATGAATCCATTGGAAAATGTATGTATGTGGATGATTTAACGATATATTACTCGGCAAAAGAAATGGTCACGATGGAAAGTAAACTTCAAGAGACCATCGACAACCTGTTGAAACTGCTAAAGAAGTGGTCTTAACTTTTCTAGATCAAAAACTACAGTAATCCATTTTTGTCGGCTAAGAGCAGCACATAGGGAACCTGCATTAACCTTGGAAGGAAACTTAATCCAAGTCAAAGAAACTCACCGGATCCTAGGAGTAATCTTTGATCGTAAACTTACGTGGAAACCACAAATCGAGTCATTAGCTGTTAGATGCAAGAAAGCCCTTAACGTAATAAAATGCGTCTCCAGCATAAAATGGGGCGCGGACAGAGATGTCCTACTGACGCTATACAATCGCTGGTAATGTCAAAAATGGATATGGTATTGTAGCTTTTGCCGCTGCCAGAAGATCGCATATACGTACCCAGAAGTCATCCATCGTGAAGGATTAAGACTGTGCTTAGGTGCGTTTCGCACTAGTCCATCCAGCTCGATATATTGCGATGCGAATACTCCACCGCTTGATTTACGCATATCGCAGTTAATGCTTAACTATGGAATTAACATATGGCTCAACCCTCTCACCCAAACCACGATATCATTTTCAACAATGATAGCAGTGAAGATACGACAACCGACCTACTATTACAAGACCATTCGGAGTCAGACTATCAGAGATTATAAACGACCTTGGCGCTGTTATCCCTGACATATACACTAAGAAACCAAGTGAAACTCCACCATGGATCGACACCAGGCCGAATATTGTACTAGACTGCGCTATTTATCCAAAAAACATAACATCGGGATATGTTTATCTACATAAATTCAATGAAATAATAAGTAGATATAATACACCTGAAGTCATCTACACAGACGGAGCGAAAAATGAAATTGGCGTAGGATCAGCTTTCACCACCCTAACAGAAAACCTTTAAGTATAGTCTAAATCCTATTACTTCCGTATATACAGCCGAATTGTATGCCATCTCGGCAGCTCTTAAATACTTGCTGACAAACCATCCGGTGTAGTACATACCTCATATGTACAGATTCAATGACCGCCCTTCAATCTATACGAAATCAACAAGCTAAGAATCCCCTCGTCCAGCAGGTGATTAATCGGTGCCATAAACTAACGCATAATTCGAACACAGTCGTATTTATTTGGACTCCAGGGCATGTAAATATTCCTGCAACGAACTAGCAGTGCAGCAGCTCGTGACGCGACCCAAAAATGGAACCCCCGTCAGCACCGTACTTCCTGAAGACCTAAAAGCCCATTTCAAGCTCCAGATACATCAACGTTGGCAAAATCAGTGGAGCCAAAGTATAAGTCGTTTGAGGATACTACAACCTACAATCGAGAAATGGAAATATCCGACAGGCCTAACTAGACGAGAACAAGTTTGTCTTACAAGAATAAAGATTGGACATACTCACCTAACTTCATCACATCTTCTCCTAGGGCGAAGCCCAATACTATGCGATGAATGCCACTGCACTCTTACCGTAGAACACATCATCCTGGAATGTCCAAAATTTAACTCTAAGCGCCTAGAATGTTTTATACCAAGAAACCTGAAAGAATGCTTTTCAAACGACAGAAACATAAACAACTTACTGAACTTCATGAAATCGACAAATATGCTACACAAAATCTAAACAAAAAATCTTCCAATATAAAAATCTTAAAATATTAGCTCCAACATAAATATCTCGAAAAATATGTATATGTGGGTATATGTGTATCAAGAAAACAATGAATCCTATATAAGAATGCATTATTAACACAACTTACCTGAATTCTGTCTGGCACACCAAATATTTTACTAGGAACAGGACAAACTCAATGCTGTAGTATTTACCTATGGTAAACACTCAGTTTTACCTCCATACTTGAATTAAGTAAATGGGATGATGCAATGAATTATTTATACTGTATGTGATTGTGTGCGTTCTATATATTATCCAACTCTCAGATCTATCCCTGAGATGCTAGGTTCAACTTAATGACCTCATGAGGCAGGAGGGAAGTGGCTAATGACCATAGCTGTCGATGCCACTGTGGGTTTAAAAAAAAAAAAAAATAATAATAATATATAATAATAATAATTATTATATATTAATTAATATTATAAATAATTATTATTATAATATTAATAATAATAATAATTAAAATAATAATAATCATAATAATAATAATTATTATTATTAATATATAATAGAATAATAATTATAACTATTATTATTATTATTATTATTATTATTATTACTTTATACTATTTTACTCCTCTGTCGAAGGTATTAATATTTCCCTCAGGCGGTTAGCCAAAGTAAGGAAATAGATCTGCAGCGGTCTTTTCACCGTATCCGGTTCTCATCTCCTAAAACCCTACGTACTGTCCTACATGTTCCCAGCAGTGCAGCTTTTTGCAGTTGCAAGTATATTTTGGATGGAGCTGTAGCTTTTCCAGACTCTTGTGTAGTTTCCTTGGTATCTCTCCAGTAGCTCCTATTATAACTGGTATTATAGACACATTGCCCATTTCCCACATGCGTTTGATTTCGTCGGAGAGTGGCAAATACTTATTGATTTTTTCCGCATGGGTGGTTTGGATATTAGTAGGAAGAGGCACAGCTATGTCTATTATAAACGTCGTTCTTTCTTCTTTTAGTGTGAGCACTATGTCAGGAATATTGTTGGGGATGGGCCTGTCAGTTATGATTTTACGGTTCCAGTACAGCCTAGAGGTCTCCGTTTCTATCACAGGTGGCGGCGTGTATTTATAGTAGGGCTGTGTACCAGTTTCTCCTAGATGCTTTTTAGCCAAAGCTTGATAAAGTATTTTGGCCACATCATTGTGCCTTTCAAGATATTGTTTAGGAGCTAAGGGAGAGCACCCTGCTACAATATGATCTATGTGCTCATCTTTTTCCCCACATATGCGGCATCTGATATCGTCAACGTTCTCATGCATTATACGCTTTCGGTACAACTTTGTTGGGACTACCTGATCCTGGATGGAGGCTATGAAGCCCTCCGTCTCCAGGAACAGATTACCTGACTGCAACCATCCTTGGGAAGCCTTCGTGTCAATGGCGTTGTCTTCTATGCGGCTCCTATACCGACCATGTAGTGGTTTGGCTTTCCATTGGCGAACCAGATCCTGCATTGGGGTTATCTTTGCCTCAGGGTCGAAAGATTTTTCTGAAAGGTTTAGTGGTGTCAACTTTTTATCCGTCTGTGTTATTGCTTGATGCATTCTGCTGGATGTGGCTTTTTGGAGGAAGTACTGACGTAGATTGTCCACTTGGCGGTGATGTAGTGTAGGTATGCAAGGTATTCCTCTGCCACCCTCACTTCGTGGTAGATGGAACCGCTCTATGGAACTATGTGGGTGGTGTCCCCGGTGTTTACGGAATTCTTTTCTGGTTTCCACATTAAGTGCGTTCAGTTCTGTATCCGTCCAGTTCAGTATGCCAAACGTATAGGTAAGGACCGAAGTGGCGTAGGTGCTGACAGCAAGTGCTGTATTACGAGCTGACAGACTTGTTTTCAGCACCGCCCTCAAACGTGTTCTATAGTGCTCCATTGCCTTTTCTTTTGCAGCTTTCTGGTCTATGCCCGGCGCTTGTAGATAGCCTAAGTATTTATACTGTTCATCTTGCTGCATTCCTTCAATTTTCACTTGCACTTGGTTCGGCTCATATCCTGAATGTTTACTCCACTGGCCTTTTACCATGCAACTGATCTTGCACTTGTCTAAGCCAAACAGCATCTTGATGTCAGTGCTGAACTTACTTACACAGTCCAGAAGCTTATGAAGATGTTCTTTGGTTTCTGCAAAAAGTTTGAGGTCGTCCATGTACCAAAGATGTGAAATGCGTGTTTCATTGCCACCTAACAGTATTCCTTTCTTTTGGCTATTTAGCATTGTTGTTAACGGTCTAAGCGCTAAGCAGAACCATAGCGGACTTAAAGAGTCTCCTTGAAATATTCCTCTCTTGATGGATACCTCTCCGGCACTGAATTGCGTATCTTGGGTGTTGAGATAGAGCCGTGTCTTCCAATTCGCCATAGCATGTGCCAGAAATTGTTTGATGTGGCACTCGATCCCATAAAGGTCAAGCACCTCTAACAGCCAAGAGTGAGGTATACTGTCAAACGCTTTCTGATAATCGATGTATGCAATGTACAGGGGTATTTTTTTTTTTTGGCATAATTAGTTATGACAGAGTCTATAACAAGTTGCTCTTTACAGCCTCGAGACCCTTTTCGGCAACCTTTTTGCTCTTCGTCTAGTATAGTATTCCGCTCTAGGTGTGAATATATCTTTTCAGTAATTATAGCAGTCAATACCTTGTAAATAGTCGGCAGACAGGTGATTGGTCGGTATTTGGCCGGATCGTTTCGAGTGATCGCCGCACTTGGGATTAAATATGTTATTTCCCATTGTTAAGAACTCTGGCAACATATCTGGTTGCTCTAAGATTGAGGGGTAACCTTTGCGAGTCGATCGTGAGCCGAAGTGAACGTTTTTAGCCAATAATTCTGAAGCTTATCTGATCCTGGGCTTTCCAGTTTGGTAATTTCGTAGAGTATTGTACCACGTCATCTAAGCTTACTTTCCAGTCGAGCATGGTCCTAAAAGTTGAATTATTTGCTTTCTCTTGGCGGTACCATTTAGATGTGGAATGATTGATTGGATTGCTCCAAATTCCTGACCAGAAGGTATTGATGGCATCTGAGGTAGGAATCTGAACGTTGTTCTGATCTGTATCCTCCTGTCGCGCTGCAAGTTTCCTGTAAAAGCCTCGCTGATTGGTCGCGAATGCTCGATTTTGTTTCCGGCGTCGTCGTTGCTTTTCTTGTACCTTCGAAGTCGCAGTGCTGTAGCTGCTAGTTTTTTTGCTTCAGGTAGTCCAAGAGCTTCTACGGCTGTTTGGTTCTCCTCCGAGCAGTGACGGTTTATCACATTCTCTGCGGATCTCTTTACTCTCAGACTACATCAGACCTGCGGTACTGGGTGAGTATTGCTATGTCCTTTCTAATCTCCTCTATATTACGCGGATATCCTCATCCCAGGCTGGCAGTTTTCTGTTTTTCCTTACACATTGTTCGCCAACTCTCTGTTCATTTAATTTTAGTGTAAGTGCTCCAATGTACAACAGGCTAGGGAGCTCAGTCAAGGTTGTATCTTCTGTAATCTCGTTATCTATTACTTTGTTAACTTCAGCGATATACTCAGATGTATGGGGTTTATTAATTAGCTTTGGTAGGCTTGGTTTAAGAGTTGGTTCCACACCATCATACTTCATGAACAAGCCCCTGAACTCATCTGCGTATTTAGAGGTTGGCCATCGTTTATCTCATTTTCTTGGTTTTCTGTGTGCTCTTGCGGAGCTGTACCTGCATTCCTAATTCTAATGGAGATCTCTTCTCTTTTTTTTTGTTTATATCTCCTTCTGCCGGCAATCTGTTGTTTATGAATACGGATCGGCGCTGGTCTAGTACGTTTTGCACAGTTTTTGCCTTGCAGGTGAGGGAAGTTCATGATAACTTGTCTGTGTAGTTCAGTACCATAGGGCGCTGTAGATGTTTCTAGTTTAGTTATTCGGTAGTAGGAGCGAACCACAAATCTGTTCATTTCAGTGGTCCACGTGGTTCTTTTTCCTCCTCCATTGTCTGGCATTATGGGCTGGGGCCTCTTGGCTTCCAGCAACATGATTGCCATCTTCGACCCCAGGAAGCTGTGGATGGGGTCATTCGAGTTACTACTTCTCGCACTATCTGTGGGGGGCTTTCGCTGGATGACGACCGGGTGCGAACCTTCCCCTACGCTCCCTGCCGGACGCGGAACCCTCGTCGCATAGCGTCGAGTCCCGATTACGTCGTTACATTCCGAGGCTTCATTTTGTTTTTCTCCATTTCTGGGTAATTGTGTTCTCTTTTGATAGGTAGTATAATTGTTTACCTAAAAGTGTTTAAACTCAGGCGTGGAAGAGAGACAAAACCACGCCTGGATGAACAGGAGGTGGCTGGCCGTACTGACTTTCCTTCGGTGTTAATAACAGTAGCTCAACCACTTGGTCGAGGCCAGACGTTGCATTGCTGGCTGTACCGTCTACGTCGTTACGGTAGCGGGTTTGAAACTGCTGGCGGCAGTCCCCCTTACCGGCCAGACCCATACGATTATTATTATTATTATTATTATTATTATTATTATTATTATTATTAAATTATTATTATATTATTATTATTATTATTATTATTATTAGTATTTTATTATTATTAATTATTATTATTATTATTATTATTATTATTATTATTATTATTATGTATTATATGATTATATTATTATTATTTAATTATTATTATTATTATTATTATATTATTATTATTATATTATTATTATTATATTATTATTATTTTTAATATTATTATTATTATTATTATTATTATTTTATTATTATTATTATGATATTAGTATTATTATTATTATTATTATATTATTATGATTATTCTGTATTATTATGATATATTATTATTATTATTATTCATTATTTTTCTTATTGTTTTATTCTTATTCTTATATTCTTCTTCTTCTATAGTATTCTTTATTATTATTCTTATATATTATTCTTATTATTTCTTATTATTCGTACTTATTCTTATTATTATTATTCTTATTATTGCTTCTTCTTATATTTCTGCTTCTGCTTCTTCTTCTTATCTTCTTATTATTCTTCTTCTTCTCTTATATTACTTCTTCTTCTTCGTCTTATTTCCTTCTTCTTCTTTCTTCTTATTCTCTTCTTCGTCTTCTTCTTCTCTTTCTTCTTATTTTCGTTATTACGTCTTCTTCTTCTTCTTCTTCTTCGTCTTCTTCTTGTTTGCGTTCTTCTTCTTCTTCTTATCTCTTCTTCTTCTTCCGTCGTCTTCTTTCTTCTTCGTCTTTCTTCTTCTTCGTCTTCTTCTTCTTCTTCTCTTCTTCTTCCTGCTCTTCTTCTCTTCGTCTTCTTCTTCCTTCGTCTTCGTCGATCTTCGTCATGCTTCTTCTCTTCTTCTTCGTCTTCCTTCTTCTGCTTCTTCTTCTTCTTATTCTTGTTCTTCTTCTTCTTCTTCTTCTTTTCTTTCTATCTTCTTTGCTTCTTTCTTCTTCTTCTTCTTCTTCTTCTTCTTCTGCTTCTTCTTCTTCTTCTTATTCTCTTCTTCTTCTTCTTTTCTTTCTTCTTCTTCTTCTTTCTTTTGTTTTTTTTTTTTTTTTTTTTTTTTCCCACAGTGGCATCGACAGCTATGGTCATTAGCCACTTCCCTCCTGCCTCATGAGGTCATTAAGTTGAACCTAGCATCTCAGGGATAGATCTGAGAGTTGGATAATATATAGAACGCACACAATCACATACAGTATAAATAATTCATTGCATCATCCCATTTACTTAATTCAAGTATGGAGGTAAAACTGAGTGTTTACCATAGGTAAATTACTACAGCATTGAGTTTGTCCTGTTCCTAGTAAAATATTTGGTGTGCCAGACAGAATTCAGGTAAGTTGTGTTAATAATGCATTCTTATATAGGATTCATTGTTTTCTTGATACACATATACCCACATATACATATTTTTCGAGATATTTATGTTGGAGCTAATATTTTAAGATTTTTATATTGGAAGATTTTTTGTTTAGATTTTGTGTAGCATATTTGTCGATTTCATGAAGTTCAGTAAGTTGTTTATGTTTCTGTCGTTTGAAAAGCATTCTTTCAGGTTTCTTGGTATAAAACATTCTAGGCGCTTAGAGTTAAATTTTGGACATTCCAGGATGATGTGTTCTACGGTAAGAGTGCAGTGGCATTCATCGCATAGTATTGGGCTTCGCCCTAGGAGAAGATGTGATGAAGTTAGGTGAGTATGTCCAATCTTTATTCTTGTAAGACAAACTTGTTCTCGTCTAGTTAGGCCTGTCGGATATTTCCATTTCTCGATTGTAGGTTGTAGTATCCTCAAACGACTTATACTTTGGCTCCACTGATTTTGCCAACGTTGATGTATCTGGAGCTTGAAATGGGCTTTTAGGTCTTCAGGAAGTACGGTGCTGACGGGGTTCCATTTTGGGTCGCGTCACGAGCTGCTGCATCTGCTAGTTCGTTGCCAGGAATATTTACATGCCCTGGAGTCCAAATAAATACGACTGTGTTCGAATTATGCGTTAGTTATGACACCGATTAATCACCTGCTGGACGAGGGGATTCTTTAGCTTGT